AGACCACGGTAGGGTTCTCAGCCTAGAGAATTCGTATTGACTCCTTTTTTGGCCGGCATTTCCACGCTTGTATGTCCCGAATGCTCAGGGGCCCATGCCAGGGTCAGGTCATTGATGTCACTGACTTCTGCCAGGGCTTCCATACAATTCCATACACTTTTTGCCTTTACTTCCAATGAAGCTAAGAGCCTTTAGAGCTGCCTGTCAGAGAAAATGGCTATCTTCCGGGAATGTATTCCTAGTCTTTTTATTTCTCTGGTGCACTGTTCAATTGCTATGTTTCCAGACAGAAAAACTGTAGCGTATTTACTTAAGTTTAAAGTCAGTTCGGTCTTCGGATTCATCCGGTGGCTTTCAGTACCCGAAGTCATTGGGGAGATTAAAAAAGTAATCCTGGTCTGCACATTACAAAACGACGTTTATTAACTGTTTAAAATCTACAAAGGAGGAATCTAAACCGAAACCAGACATACCCCATCCAAAGCTCGCTTACTACATAAAAATCTAACAAAGGTTTAAATTATCATACTTCCTCTTGTGTTATGCGGGGGTGGATAAACCTATTGTTCGATAGCTACTTATCATCTTGGTCTGCCTAACCTCGCTTCTTTGCGTTGGTTCAGAAGCGTTTCGGCATTTCGCCATCTTCAGTGTTTGAGTGATATATGTCCTGGTACTATAAAAAAATCACACAAATACTGAAGATGGCGAAATGCCGAAACGCGTCTGAATCAACAAAAATCAGCGAGGATAGGCAGACCGAAATGATAGGTAACTATCAAATAATAACAAAGGTCTAGCCCACTCGTATCCGTTTTTGCAACGAACTCTCAATTCAAAATCCAACTTCAACTATAAATTCTAAACTGTAACTAACTTCTCTTTTGTAAACTTCCCCAGAGGGGAGCTCTACGTGGGGCTTCGTTCTCCGTGGCAGCTACTACCCTCTGACTTCACCATTTCCGTTTCTTTAGCTTTCCTTTGGAGGGGATTCTCGAGCGTCCACGGTGTCGCTTCAACTTTTACATATCTTCATTCTAATCGTTCAATACAGTTAACACAATAATTTTTGCACACTTAATTGTTAGTTAGTTAGAAATCTAATTATCTATACAAAAAATAGTTTTCTCACGACGTTTTTAAATAATCAAACAATATAAAACCGTATGGATTTACCGAAAGTTTGAATATATAACAAAATTACGATTATAATAACAAGTCATACAATGAAATTTCATTTTTCTGATTAACAATCTTTTAAAACAAGTTATTTTTCCTGAAAAAATTTTCGTCTTAAAAAATAGTGTTCTCACGACACAGTCATTCTGAGAGTGGATCCGTCCTCGGAGCAATTAATAACATTAAAAATAAAAAAGCACCTCTTCTTAACAAAAAACAGTCTTCACTTGGTGCTACCAATAAAGTAGTCACTAGGAAGTCATTGGTGGCACGTGTACCGGTAGCCTGTCAGTCATTAGTTGAATGGAGTTGAGTAGTTGACTGGGCAGTTGGTCACGAGTCAGTTACAGTTTAAAGTTTACAGTTTCAGTGCCCAGTGATGAGTTAGAAGTTGGATTTTGAAAAAAAGTTTGTACAAGGCAAAATTTTGTGCCGTCTAATGTCATCAAATATTCCAAGGCTCTGATTAAGGCGTACAGTGAAAATGGAGGCTGAGTACGGCAAGCGGTAGTTTTGTTGACATGCAATGCAGAATCAAACAGTGGAGCACCTACTTTTCCTCCAATCACCGTCCCGTCAGTAAAAACGTGGTGATGTCCAGGGAAAACAGATTCACGTTTTCTACACTGGAAGGTGGAATTCAGAGTGGTCTTTAAAATAGAATGTGGAAGGTGTTTGTAGAGCTCTCTCTTACCCTAGCTGCAGAGTAGGGGGAGCTTGTAAGAATACATTGAATATATCCCAGAAACGAACGAAAAGAATGCTGAAACTATACAAGAAATTTTCATTTCCTGCTAGAAATTTTCTGTTTGAACTACCTCAATCAAAGTTTGAATCCTAGGCAGAATGTGACTTTCCGAATAGAAAAGATGTAACAGTTTATTTATGGCTAGTTTGTTGATTCCTATGTGATGAGAAGGTTCTGAAATTTCAAAGGACAGTGATACAATGGTGGTGCTTAGGAGAGCGCCGAGGATTTGCTTATAACATTAATGGCAGTACCTCTGTAGTTTGGTTAACTCAGAATTTGAGGCTTCCCCATAAATAATGAGCCGAACTCAATAACGGATCTAATAGTGGATTTGTAAAACAGTCTCTGGGGGCGCCAGTAAGATTGCAAAGAATGTTATACAGATTTTCGCATTTAGCTAAGATTTGCTTACTGTGAGCGATCCATGTGAACATGCGGTCAATATTTAGACTTAAAAATCTAACTTGGCTTTTGACGGAGATATTGTGAATGCCTATTTTACCTTCATTCGGTAGATCTATATTTCATTTCCGGCTAAAGGGGCATATAAACCGATTTTGTGTCACATTATCTCCCTAATGGCGGATTCGGAAGAAAAGCCAATCCTTACGAATGATCGATTCTCCGAGATATACGTCTCTCTCTCTCTCTCTCTCTCCGAATCATTCTCTAAGTAACTAAATAACTACAAGTCCTAGGTAGTACATTTTTAAAAAAAATTGGACAAATGACAGATGACCAATGACAATTATGTCTAGTTGAGAAAGAAACAACAGAGTATTCCATGATACTTCCCTTCAACAGCAAGGAAAAAGCTGTAACACCTATTAAAGCGGGGAAGACACCCGATGAAAACGCCATGCATCAAGCGCTCGCCACGTAGAGTCACACAGCGTGTATCACAAATCAGTAGCACAATCGCCACGTCCCTTTTGTTCTGCATTATTCTGAGCAAAATCATGTAATAAATGGTTTGTTAAACTTAATTGTTTTAAATAAAGTTATTCCTGTGTTTTGATAAATTTTCTGCCTAACCATCTTAACTAAAAAATTTTATAAAAACTTATGAACTTTTGATCTCGTTTAATTGGGTTTATATTAACATAAAAATGTTGTAATTAATATAACGACAAAATTACATATACGTAGTTTGAAATTAACTACAAAAAATATGACGCTACTCGTCGAAAATGGTGTAATTGTATGAGCAAAACGATGAAATAAATTGTAGTTAAATTTTATGAGCAAAACCGTGTGATAAATTGTTTGTTAAATTCATTATATAAAAAATGTTATTCCGGTGTTTTGATCAATTTTTTACCAAACCCTTAAAATTGATTTTTTTAAATAAATTCTAATGAATTTTTGATCTTGGTTAATTTGGTTTTTATCAACATAAGTATGTTGTAATTAATTTTTTTTCGGCCGGCTAGCTGCCTGGGCTATTGCCGGTACCTCACATTTCTTCCACCTCACGTTTTAAAAATTTATTTATTTTTATTTATTTATATATTTTATTTATTTTTTTAAGTTAGCTTTTTTGTAGGAAGTCTGGCGATCTTTCTGGTTGTGTTCTGGGACGTTATTTCTACATTTTCAGCCCTCCCACACGTGGTGAAAAGGCCCTGAAACTACAATATCTCATTCACTGCCACTCAATCCCTAGCCTAGCCTATATGCGGGTTTCAAAGTACTCGATATTCCTCTGAAGACCCGCTCTCGTTCACGCTAATAAATACATCGATACATTATGTACAATTAAAATTACAATTAGTCTAAAATATTAACCTAGGTTGGTGGGTTTATGGGGTACTTGATATTCCACCATAGACCCACCAATATATACACTACTATCGCACTAATAAATACATTCACTCAAACAGTAACCAATCATTCTGTATTTACAAATAAAAAAATGCGGGGCAACTGGCGCATTTAATATTACCACAGTGCCTCCGCCCATTCACTCTAAAAGATATTATGGCCTAAAACTAACCTAAATCGGTGGCACAACCCACCCACATACTCACTTTCGCGCCAAAATACATTCATTCTACCCAAAACACACAAAGAGATATCTATCCTACTTTGGTGGGTCTGTGGTGTACTCGATATTGTAATTAATATAACGACAATAATACATGTAGTTTGAATAAAAATATGAGTGTCCGGTTCTTTTGCCTTCGACTGAACCCGATGCTATCCGACGAAAATCTGGACAATGGGGATCGCAGAGTGTAGAGTAGGGTAACTTTGCATAGCATCAGGTAGATGTGCACGGGGGAATACAACCATAAGGAAAATTGAACTTTGGACTTACGTCGGGTAGCATCGGGTAGCGGCGCAAGGCGTTACATCGTGTAAGTGTGTTTCCGGCTTAATAAGCCATTCTTGAGCAATGTATACCGATACTCTTGAGAACAATTTCATACTTTTCTTAAAAGACATAACGCTTCAAAGATAACCATAAGCAGAGATCGGCCGAAATTTCAAAAAAACTCCATTCTGCATACTTGACAGTGTGATCAAAAAATTAAAAAGGCGCTGGGGACTACCTAGGATGAGCAATACATTTTAATGCCCCGTATCCTGTTTCGTAGATTTCCAACGCGAGATGGCTTTTTTAAAGCTGATTTTGTCAGAAGCAATTGATTCAGGAGGAAAGTGTCAACAATAGTCAATAACCGTTTGCTGTTACCCCTCAATGGTCGTTTGCACTCTGAAATCACAAAACTACAGATGTAGAAAGGCTTCTTTGTTATTTAACAACGAATTGATATAAGGTCGAGAGAGAAAAAACTGTAAACGAGATAAGTAATCAACTGATTTCAAAAGTGTTCTTCGATTAGACAGCAGCAAAATTAAACATTATTCAAAATTATTTTTGATTCTAAATTCATCGTTTTTTTTGTTTTAAAAGTAATTTAATGTAAATAATACACCATTTTACTCGCCGATTCTATTGATCATTTTTTATCGAGAGATAAAAATTAGTATTACACAATTGTATAAATTTAAACTTTTTTGCGTCTTTATTGATTTTTATTTCAAATATCATATTTGATTTTAGAAAGATTACATTAGAAATAATTCCGAGCGACCTTGGGGAACAAGTCAGAGCAGATGTTGATCCCTGGAGTCAGTTCGTCTCTACCTCTCAGTTGGCGCTAGACCACCACAATGAAGCTAAGGTAACATAGGCTAAGAGTTTCGACAATTTCATAATCATAAGTATTCTATTGTTTAAGTTGAAACGTTTGTCAAAATCGTCCAGTGTCGCATCAATTAAAAAAAAATACATAACAAAAGTAAAGATGAAAAAAAATTTGTTATGAACACATATTCTATACAAAATGACAAAAAAAAATTAACATCCTGCTAATTGCTTAAAAAATACATTAAACAACTAACAATAATAGTGCTTAATATTTAACATTAAAACAAATAAAAACAATAACCGGTATAAAATTTAAAAGGGACGAAACTTCGCACATTGACCTCTTTTAATATCAGCGATTCTTGAACAAGCACCCTTTCTTCTTCGTGTCCTTTTTAACTGCATAATCTCAAACAAATGAGAACGTGCAGTTGAAATTTCATAAATGAAAGAAAAGCCGAATAATTTTCAATTAAGGCTAATTTACTCTACTATGTATTGATATTAGTAATATAATAAATGTAATTGTTTTAAAAATGTAATTTATACATTGCATTCAAATTTTTGAAAAGGATGTTTTAATTCAAGTACATTTTCTGTTTTGCATTTTTTGTTCTTGGGTTTAATTTTTGCTAGTTAGCTTGTGATGATTTAGGAAGAAATTATGTTTGTTTTTTCCAGAGGTATTTTGGTCGTCTTCATCGTGTTCCAAGGCGCCTACGCATTGGACAACGGTTTAGCACTCACCCCACCCATGGGTTGGATGACCTGGCAAAGGTTCAGATGCAATACGGACTGTACAAAATATCCTGACGAATGTATAAGGTACGGTCAAAATCAAATGGAAAAAACACTTCAGTATTTATTTATCAAGCTCTGTAATTGACAGTACAGATTTTTTCTAGTGCCAAATTTCAAATTCCATTGTGATGCGAATTATGTTTACCGGTTCGAATGTTCCTTAAGGCAGTGAGGATATCAAAACCTTGAAAGTTACCCTTTGCATTCAAGTTCTATTTGCGTTTCCGTCCTTAGCAATGTTGGGTCTGAGTCGGTCTTCAAGGAAATTTGAAGCCATCAATTAAAAATTTAATTATGCCACTTTGTAGATGTCTTAAGATTGTTGTGCCCTGATGATGACCTTAAAATAGATCGAAAGCTTGCCACATAACAATTGAATTCGTAAAAGTAGTTCGAGTATAACGAAAAGCAGTGCCATCAGAAGACAGTCGGCAACAGACGTCTACTTCGCGTTATCTTTAGTAATCGATGGTTAGGGATGTTATTTTAGTTATGATCGATGTTATTTTTATTTTTTAATTATATTTAAACAATTCTGAATAAAACTTCACCTACCCTGGCCGAATGGCGGAATTTGCATTTTGTTAAATATTTGTGAAAGGAATGGACAGGGAAATGATGATGAGAGGGTAGAAATATTGTCATTGCTGCAAAACGGAACTCTTTTCATAGTACCCGCCAGATCCTAAATGAAGTAGAAGATGTTTTGGCAAGGCCTTTATCAACACAAACGATTATGAATCGTTTGTGGGAAGTTGGTCTCACATCGTATGCCCCTTTGAGTCGACCTGCAGCAACAGCCCGTCACCATCAACTTAGGAGAATATGGTGCAGAGAGCGAGAAGAGACCACTAATTAATTGGAATGATGTTATATGTACTGAGGAGTCGCGTTTCTGTCTGGATAGTGACAGCAGGTGTCGAAGAGTCTACCGAGAACAGGGGATGCGTACAATGCCCTCAGTTCGTGCTCCCTTCAGTGCAGTTTGTAGGAGGCGGTGTAATGGGTTGAGCTGGGATTTACACTGGAGGACGAACTGGACTCCATATTGTTGAAGGCAACCTCACCGCAGTCCGCTATGTCCAAGAAATTATCGATGAATACATCTCTCAAACCAGGGTCTCATTGGCAGGGATTTTCGATTTCTGGATGACAATGCCATACAGGCAGAGTTGTTCATCAATGTTTAGAAAACCTGGGAATTTCCAATCTGCCCCTTCCCCCATTGTCTTCAGACCTTAATCCCATTGTGCACAGGCGGGATGTGTTGCAGGGTAGACGGCTTTTGATCTCCATCCGCCAGTTGACCTACAACAACTGAGTGGAGCGTTGCAATATGTATGGTGTGAAATTCCTCGTGAAATTTGTGACAAACTTACTAAATTATGCCTGCACAAGTGCACAGAGGTTTTAGCTAACAGAGGATATTATACACGGTATTAATTATATTATTGTGCCCAATAAACAAAATTATCGAATTAAAACCTTTTATTTTGTTATTTTTCAAAATCTCTTAATTAAACTTTCCTTCTACTTAATAATTTCTAATAAATTTTAATAAAATTTATAATAAAAATAAAATAAAAATGATAGGGAAAGTAAATACAACAAAATTGGCAATATTCCTATTCATTTTTGGGCAGTTTATTTCCCGGGTCTTTTTGGTGCTTTAGTGAGTGGGCTGATTGCTGATTTATATAAGCTCAAATCTGCAATTGCATGTACATATGTACACACATGTACAGAGTTGAGCCTATCACTTCTCGCAGTAAACCTGCAATTCCAGCATTTGTACTTTACAATGAATTACCGGCAGGCCTTGAGAAGGCTCTCGACTCTGGGTGTGGTACTCCGGAGTCTCGGTCATCTGACTAGCCACCGAGGTTGAGCGCTTGGTGCTAATAACAGCTAGTCACTTCAACACCCTACTCTTAAATACATTCTGTTTTATTTACATCCCATTCACTCAGTTAGGGTGGCTATCGGCCAAAACTATCATTACTGTAATAATAAATCAACCCTTAGGCCCTCCAAGAATCAGAACATGGGATCCATACACTCGTTGCCGGGATCAAACACAATTCTCATATCCGATGGCATGTCTACACGCTCTCTTTATGGAGCTGTGGTGGCCACCTACAGTTACCACGGTACCCGCTACGTGTCACTACCGGTTCTGGAATACTCTCGCCCTCCACTCTGCAGCGAATCAGGGCAGAGCCAGTGCGTATATAAGCAGGGACACTGCCTCACTGGCTTCAGAGTTTCAGACTCGTCTACCCGACGAGCTCGCACCAATCATTAATGAAGCACCTACGACGATGGCAGGGGTACTCTCAGCATTAGCCTCATACTTGCATTCTCAACATAGCCGACTTGGCTACTGGTAAACCGCTGCACTCGGCTACCTGCTGCACCATAGTTCCTCCAACCGATGTAGAGCCAACCGACCCACGGCTCCGGTGCTCAGGCAACTGATCTCGGCCTCATTCATCGTCTCAACGCCACGCTGCCAAACAACACCGGCCCTTGTCAGGGCCACCAAAACTCCCAGTCACTAAAGGTCCAAGGATTGCACCCTTCAATTAGGTGTGACATATCGAGAATCTGCGTGCCGGCCATATTCGCGGGTTATTGCCCAAAAGTCAACCTCGCATGGTTTACCCTTAATCGGGTGAAGATGAACCTTCTTCTACGAGCCAGGCCTTCTGAGGACCACCTATCGTCAGTGCTTATGATACACGAAAGCTTCTCTGCCGATGCGGTCCACCGACTTTCTGACTTTCTTTTAATCGTGTTTTTTAAAGCATTGTTTGCATCAAAGGGCTGGATCGCGGTGGTTAAATCCGGAGGTTAGGACGTCCCGGTCATAGCCGCCTCTTCCACCTTTTCGTTACCCCCCAGACCTATGTATGTGTCCGGGTTCCTAGATAACAACCACGGTTTAGCCTCTTCATTTTAATATTGTTTTTCATATCATTTTTAGCATCATCGGTCTCTCAGAGCGGTTACTGTAGTCCGTGACAGGTTCTCTGTCAACCATCTCATTGTACTCTTGTTGGAGAGGTACCACGAAATGGAGAGTCTCGTCTGAGTCTACCATTCCTGAGTCTACCACAAGGGAGCATTCTTGGACCTCTCCTTTGCATGATATATACTGCTGACATTCTTTCCTTTCCAGAAACAATTCTTTCCACTTTTGCTGATGATACAGCAATCCTTTCCTCACATAAAGATCCAGTCACTGCACCCAGAAACCTTCAAAACCGTTTGCAGTGCCTCGATGTTTGGTCCAAATTAAATTAAATGCAATGAAGAGCCAATATATTAACTTCTCAGTCTTATGCTGTTTACAGTGAAAAATTAATAAGGAGAACAGCGGATGCCATGGTAAGAGAAGGATATCTAGAAGCTGGATATGAATACATTGTTATTGATGACTGTTGGCTAGACATGAATAGAACAAGTACCGGCAATTTGCAAGCGAACTATACTAGGTTCCCTCATGGCATGGTATCCTTAATTAATTATGTAAGTACATTATTATTATTTATATTATTGTTTGTTTCCTATTAAACTATTCACCAAATAAAACTAGTGAAACAATTCAGAGACAAATTTAAAAAGTTTATTGTAATGACAACATTCAATTTTTCACAAACACCATTAATTGTAGTTGTATTTTATTCAAGTCCATACTTGATAAATAATTAAATTTTATTTTAACTTGGATGCAGCTGTTTCTTTATTCATTTATAAGTATTTATAGATCGTTATTTTCTTGTGCCAATTATTATGTGTGTCAACAAGTTATTCGTGTGCCAACTGATAATGTTAATATGATATATTGATCTTTTATGCATTTAAGTTTTTGTATAATATTTAGTAACATCTTTTATTCAAAGGTACACATGAAAGGGCTAAAATTCGGAATTTATGAAAATTATGGCAACAAAACATGTGCTGGTTATCCAGGGTTATATGGCTATGAAAAAGAAGATGCATATATGTTTGCTGAATGGCAAATTGATTACTTAAAAGTAGATGGCTGCTACTATTATGGAAAAGAGTATGCGGCAGGTATAAACAACTTTCTATGTCTAACATTTAATTAAATGAAAACCTAAAAATATAATTGTAAATATTGCATATATGATCTACATTATATGTCTCATCCATTTTTATTGGGTTTTGTCCAACATGGCAGACCGGGTTGGTAAAACAATACCACAATGATTAATAAAACATTTTTTTTTTGTAGATTATGAAAAGTTTAAAAGGATTTTAAACCAGACAGGACATCCCATTGTTTATTCCTGCAGCTATCCTGCATACACAGATATGGAAAGTATACCTGTAAGTTTAATTAATGCAAATTTTCATAATAAACAAGAGAAAATAAATGTTAGTGCTACAAAAACTACAGTTAATGATAGTTAATAAGATATGTTTTTTAATACTATGTCTGACACTCGTATGACAAATGACAAACAGTACAGCATGTTCAAATTAGGAAATTATGCTATATTTTCTACCCTTTCCAAGCCCACTTTTCCTTAGAAATATATTGTTTATTTTATCAGTTAATTATATTTTTTATCTAAGATCTTGGTTGAGTTGAAAAAGTTGTCATGTGTGGGATTCGAACCCATGATCTTCAGCTAAATACATCGCTGCTCTAACCACTTGTTGTGATTTCAATCCACTCGCCAAAAGTTGTGTATTCGAATCCCGCTTGTGGCACTAACTTTTTCATATCAACCAAGATCTTAGATAAAAGTATAATTAATTGTAATAAATAATACTGTCAATTAAGGCTGCTAAACACATATGGATTAATATTTGTTATTTAATATCATTAATTTCACTAATTTCGTGGTCCGCTTGACCAATTAATACATTACAATTAGTTAAGGTTTTTAGTTGAGATGAAAAATGGCAAAAAGGAGGGAAAACTCATAAGGTGGGGTTGAGATAGGAAGTTGATGTCCTAGTGGATTGAGGTCACGATAGCTCAAGTGGTAGAGCAGCGGCGTATCTAGCCGAAGATCGTGGATTCGAATCCCGCTTGTGCCATTAACGTTTTTTCATCTCAACTAAAAACCTTAATTAATTGAAATATCATTAATATTATATTGTATTAGATTTCGTGCTCTGCTTGAACAAATAAATTCTTTTCAATTAATTAAGGTTTGGTTGAAATAAAAAAGTCAGTGTCACAAGCGGGATTCGAACCCACGACCTTCGGCTAAATACGCCACTGCTCTACCACTTGAGCGAGCTATCGTGACTTCGATCCACTTGGACACTAACTTCCCATCTCAATCCCACCTTTTTGAATTTTCCCTCCTTTTTTTTTTGTAAACTTTATACAAGACATTATTGCAATATCCAGCGCATCTAATCCTACCCATCAAAAGTCTTCAAACAAATTATGAAAGCTTCTTACTACAACACTAAGTTCACATTCCACAACGATTTCAACATTCCTTTTGTCAACGAACTAATCCAATTCTGATTCCAACATTTACACACCAAACATTTAATCCTAACTATATGGCCAAAACCTTATCTACATCTATTGACCCAAGAATCCATGGAAAGATGATTGCCTCGAAGGGCGATTGTAAATTCTGCCAATTTAAATTTTGCTTATGCTTTAACCTGTTCATCGCTCTGTAAATTCGACCAATGGTTAGGAACTGTGCGAATTGTTATAATTAATTGTTTGAGCAAACTAAACAAATGTATATGTGTAATATAATATAAAGATGTATATATAAATACTAATAACATTTTTTTCCTTGCTCAAATCAATATTATTTAAGCCTATTAATCAAATAATTAGTTTCCTCACCCATTTGGCCCAATTAATTGAGACCTCCTCGCCCATTATCCCTCATATCCAATGCCAGTGTTGAAAAACAATATTCTGTGTTTATTCGAGAACTTTGAGCTTATTTAATGAAAGATTATGCATATGAAGTTAAAGTAAACAAAAGAAAAAATACAATTAATTTTACACAATTTTTTCAAAATGAAACCACTTGAGCTAGCCAAAAATTTAGTATTAATCTAGAATCACACCTGTGAATCGTACAGTCCCACTAATGTAGTACAATAGTTAATAAAAATTGTTTCTATATGAAGCTATGATTTGCTTGGAATAAAATCGGGGAGTCGAAATGAGAAATTTGTGGCATGGGCAATCNTCCTGTAAACGTAAACAGAATATTTTATATAGATTTTTTTTAATGAAAACTTAAAATCCTGCATTATTTTCCGGACAACCCAATATGATTTGCTTAGAATAAAATCGGGGAGTCGAAATGAGAAATTTGTGGCATGGGCAATCGAAGCCATGGTAGTTCAAGTGGTAGAGCAGTGGCGTATTGAGCCGAAAGCTGTGGGTTCGAAACTTGCCTGTGACACAAATTTTTCATTTCGTCATGAAAAATTTGTGTCACAGGCAAGTTTTGAACCCACAACTTTCGGCTCAATACGCCACTGCTCTACCACTTGAACTACCATGGCTTCGATTGCCCATGCCACAAATTTCTCATTTTGAAAAAATTGTGTATAATTAATTGAATATTTATGTAATTAAGTAAAAGCTGATAAAATAATAAAAATTTAATTAAAAAAATTCTTTATTTACCCTAATATTATTAAAAAATATACTCTATTTTATGTATGTATACGTTTGTATTTCAGACAGATTTTTCAATTTTGTCAGAAAATTGCAATCTCTGGAGAAATTATGATGACATCCAAGACTCGTGGAATAGCGTCACAGATATACTAGATTATTTTGCTCTTAAGCAGGATTACATTGCACAGTTTGCTGGACCAGGACATTGGAACGATCCCGACATGGTATACTTGATATCTTTATAAATATTTTAATAACTGAAATCAAAACATTTTATGTTAAAGAAAATGTATTATTCCTTTTCAGTTGCTTATTGGAAACTTTGGGTTAAGTTACGAACAGTCTAAGGTACAAATGGCGTTGTGGTCAATTTTAGCTGCCCCTCTGTTAATGTCAACTGACCTAGACAAAATAAGACCAGAATATGCTGATATTCTTAAAAACAAAAAGATAATTGCTGTTAACCAAGATCCATTAGGCATTCAAGGTTTAAGAGTGTTAAGAGTATGTGAAATATGTTTGACCTTAAGTTCATTTGAACTAGAGTTTTCTGATACATTCGTTTATTTATTATTACTTTTTTAAGCAAAACAAAATTGAAGTGTGGACAAGGAAAGTAACTCCTGCAAATGATACTGAATACTCTTACGCAATTGCAATATACAGTCGCCGCACGGATGGTTCCCCGTATGAATTTGTAACAACATTAGAAAAAATTGGATTAAAGTATGCCAAAGGATATACTCTTGAGGTACTATTTTTTTATTTTTTTTTGCTGTATAATTTTAATAAGTAAATTCTTTTCATTTTAGGACTTGTATGATGAAGTGCAATACACACCGGTATATTATCCAGAATCTACACTAACCATTCGAGTAAATCCTTCAGGTAAATTAATCAAAATGTCAGAAATTCAAAAATATTTGTTTGGTGACTGGGAGTTTTGGTGGCTCTGACTAGGCCGGTGTTTTTGAGTCCGAGGATGTGGTTACAGTGTGTCGGTCAATTGACAGCGGAAAAAAGGACTCATGCAGCAGGTAGGCGAGTGTTGTAGAGGGTGGCCAAGTCGGCTGTCGAGAAGGTGAGAGCGAGGCTGATGCTGCGAGTGCCTTTGCTGTTGACCTGGTAGTGTTCCAGATAAGCAATGATTTTATTGTTTTGAGAGAAGGTTGAGATTACAGACCAACAAATTTGAAATTTCGAGACGTGTAAGTCAAGGGTGTCCTCAGGGGTCAGACTGTGAACCCGGTTTCTGGAACAACCTTTACAGTTCCATGTTAGAGCTACAGCTGCCTAGTGATGGAAAACTTCAAGCATATGTGGACCATCTGCTGGTGATAGTCTCATCCCCTTGCGAGTTGGGCCTGGTGCCCACTGGAGCGATGCAATATGTGATAAATGATGCGATATGCTTCAGCTGCCTAAGCATCTAAACAAGTGCACACCAGGATCATTGCGATACAATGCCGATAATTATCAGCAGTGTGTCGGTTGGGGCGATACAGCTTGTCACTTGCTCCATGTGATTGATCGGCACAACTCGTCAGTGAATCATGTTGGCTCAACAGGGGAACGTCTCTGCTGCTATTTCTTTTCACAAAATAATTGGACAGAACCCATGTTTATGGAACTATTCTTTGAAAAGATATTCAGGAACTAAATAATTTAGTAATTTATAAGCATAGCATAGAAGAAAATAGAAGAAAAGCTGAAACTCAAAATATTGCATAAAGGGAGTATTTTCAGGAAGGGATAATATTCTGCTCGCAGTGAACCGTTGAAATTTTTCTAACTCTATATATTCTGTACACCCCAAATTTAATGGTGTACCTGTGTAACATGCCTAATTTGGCCAGTTTTAAGATAGTTCCTACTCACAGTACGTTGTTTTCAACCATCTGGATTTAAGGAGCTCTACAACCTGATAATGAGCTGTAGGCTCAAAATCCGGATCGTTGAAAACAACTTAATGTGAGAAGGAATTCAATTTTTAAAAAGATTGAACAGCACACTCACTCCATCATTCATCAAATCCTGCTTGGTGGTAAATTGCCACTTAATTATACAATTACCAAGGCTATAAGCAAGCGGACATGGCAAAAATGCGGCGTACTTGGCACAGTTGCATATCCAAGAAAGCGAACGGTCTAAATCTGTTCATCTGAGAAACAGCAGACGTGGAAACACATCATTCAGGATTGTACCATTTTCGAGGTGCAAAGGAGAAACATATAAGTCTAGTTACTCTTCAGGGAGAGGCATCACTCGATGTTTTAATTAACAAATATTTGAAAATCTTTTTGAACTTTATAAACAGCATGGACTTTACTACGTTACTTTGTTGTCTTGTTTCTGAGCACTGGGTTAGTGATTGAGCTATCACTTCATTGTGTAAAAATGATTATAGATTATTATTTCTATAGAATGAAAATAATTTTGTTAAATGATCTATAATTACTTTGGGGGAGTAGATAGAATAAACTCCCCAGCAGCAGGGATACTGTTCAGGAAAAACAATATGCAATGACATCTCATCTTCAGTCAGTGGGGCATTGCCCCTGCTTGTATATGGAATTGCACCACTACGCTGATTGGCTGCAGAGTGGAGAATGAGGTCATTTTTGAACTGGTGGTCACACCTTGTTGGTAACGTGGTAACCACAATTAGTATAACAATACATAATTAATGTTGAAATAGCTTTCTGGATCAAATCATGGTTTTTTAACCATTTTTCTTAATTATTAAGACCATTTTTTTCTTTGCTTTCCAGGTGTTGTCTTTATGAAGGCTTCTCTTGTACTGACACCATAACTTATTATCAAAGATTGAATTTTACAAAATAAAAAGCTTTATCAATGGTTTTTACGTTCAGTAATCATGAAAAATTTTTCCTTTTCCCTCCTTCCTAGTTGCTGTTTCATCAATATCAGCTTCTGAGCGCTCTTTTTTTGCAAAACTTTTCGTAATATTCATGTTATTTTTCTCAGGGGTGTAGAAATGGTTGCTTAAGAAATGATTCTTGAGATTCAATATTATTTGGTACCATTATATTTTGTGGTCCAATTGACCAAATAATTTCTTTCAAGTAATTAATCTTTATGTAAGGTATTAGTTGAATTGAAAAAGTTAGTGTCACGAGCGGGATTCGAACCCACGACCTTCAGGTCAATACGCCGCTGCTCTAACCATGACTTCAGACACTAACTTTTTCATTTCAACTAATACCTTACATAAAGATTAATTAATTGAAAGAAATTATTTGGTACACCATTTCATCACTATCTTCTCCTCTAATTGAAGCAACTGCTGTTTTCCCCCTTCCTCCAAACTCTTAAAACTGAAAACAGAGGGAAATAATACAAAACAGATACATGCTATAAAATTAATGATTTCTCACTCACAAGAGACTGCTGGAAACGTAGCACAAGCCTCACACTGGGGTCTGGGAGACCGAAAGCATGGAGAAGGTGAATAAAAAAATTCATAACAAACAATGAAATGCCTTGTGTTTATTTAGAAAGAGAGCAAAAAGATCTATGTGCCATAGATTCTTTGTAGCAAAGATAAATATTTTATTATATGTTCTTTCAGGGTTAATCAAATTTTCACCAGGCTTTTTCAAATAATTTAGGTTAACACTGAACTTTTATCAATTGTGTCCTGAATAAAAATGCCCCTATCGTCATAATATAAAAGTGATTTTATTTTTAAATTAAAATAATCAATTATGTCTTTATAAAAAATATGTTTAATTTACTCAGTAAAAAACATTGCAAATGTGATTATTGACAATTGTTGGTACATTGTGATGATATGTTCCCCTTTTATTTGATTTTCTCATTTTTCATTCAATTGTTTTCAAAAGAAAATTAATTATATTTATTTCAATTACCTTAATATTTACATAATGTAATGAAATACATACAGTAAGTACAAAAGATATATGTCTAGGAGAGTCAACAACCACTCCCAAAGAAGCAAACATTATATCAAAAAATATATATATTTATATTTTTACTTATTTAATACAATAAAGTATGGTATAAACTTATGTTGAAATAAAAAAATTGTTTAGTTCCGAAAAATTTGTAAATTGTCTGGTAATTTTGCAATAGAAACAATTAGATCAACAGCTGGGTTCACAACTTGTAAGACATTCCATAATTTGTAGCTCCATAAAAATATATTCCGTAGTGTGTGGGGTGTATTCTTCATATTAAAATTGGTACTTAATTCTGTAAATAAAAACAAGTTTGTTTATATAGGTTCACTGCGAATTACAAAAAAAAAGTAAATACAAGTATGTTGAATATAGATGGCCTATCCAGATGACATAGACATCTATTAAATATATCTTTTTCATTCTCAATAGAAATTGGAAGCAATTTTCATGTTAATAAGATGGTCAAAAAAATTTTTTTTTAATGTTTACTTTTTTCAAACCCTGTGTTAAGTCAAGCAACAACTCTTTAACAAGCTTACCCCCACCACTTGGCTGACAGGGTGATTGGAAAATATAAGACAGGTTTTAAGAAAAATAAGTCCATAGTAGTCCAGATCCCTTCAGTTGGTTCTTGAAAGAGGTATTGAATTCCACATGCCATCACGAAGTGCTTATGATAGTGTCATGCACCCAAGGGTGAACAAGGCCATGCAAGAAATGAATATACCAACCGAGCTCATTTGGTTCGTGAAAATAACAATTATGGATACATCATGTGCAGTCTGGATCCAGACTGATGCATCCCCTTATTTCAGGACAAGTAAAGTACTGAGGCAAGGTGACTCTCTAGCCTGCTTTCAGTTTAACTTAGCCCTCGAAAAAGTAATCTGGGATTGTGGCATTCAGATCTCAGAAAACAAACTCACAGGTCATTCTCAAAACAGTGGTAACCACAGACTGCAAGTAGGCTCTAACTTCTTTCAGAAAGTCAACGAATTTATCAATCTTGGCATCCAAATTAACTCCTTTAATGACATCTCCCAGGAGATCAGCTTGAGGATCATAGTTGCTAATAGAATCTATTTTGCCTTTTAAAATATATGAAAAGCAGCTTAATTTTCAGGAACACAAAAGTCAGGCTATAAAACCCTCACCTGCCCAGTACTTCAGCAAATATGCTTCTTAAACTTGGACCATCCCCAAGACAGACAAAAAGAATCTCTTGATCTGTACAAAGAAGCGAGCGTTGTAAATGTAATGAAGTTACCAATATGAAGCTGGGGTGGCCATGTTGTGAGGAAGGAGGTGGAAATGTCAGCAAAGATTGGATGGACAATTAGGCACGAGCAGAAAGGTTGAAAGGTCTGAGCTTAAGTGGCTTGACGGTGTACACTACAGAGAAAATATTATTCACGGAGCTTGCAGATTGAAGTTAGCCTGAGATGACAGGAATTTCTGGCATACATTTATTGGGGAGGCCATGACCTGCAAAGGGTTGTAATACTAGGTCCTCACTCTCTAAAGCCTGCACTCATATGAGCAGAGCTCAGCTTTTTGGCCACTCATCCAACAAATCCGGCTGTTGACCATAATACCTGAATGCAATGGACCATGGCTAGAAAAAAAGTACTTGAATGCACCTATGGAAACAGATTTCTTTAATTTAATATCACTACAAAATAGATTACAACAGATTGTCAATTTATACAAAATACTCAGAATGAGTTTAATCCAAAAAGAATTTGCAATGTGTAAATCGGTTTTGTGCCCTATATCATTTATCCATACAAAATAATTTTCAAAAAGCTCAATATTGTGTGAGGAGAACAATTCATAATTGAAATGTCCGTCTTTGCTTATTAAATGCATTAACAATATGCAACTTACCTCTTCCTCTTCAGATTCATCCTTCTTGCCTGCCATTTCTGTCACTTCATTTTCTTCCTGTACATGATGATTAAACAACATTATAATTATATCAAATTTTCACAACTAACAGTATCAAAACATTTTTTTTGTGTAAATTGGGAGATTTCTTTTTGATATGTAGGGGTTGGTGAACATTTTGGTCTGCCATCCTCACTATTTTGGTCTGTAGATATGTTTAGTCTTTTAGCCAACTTCAGAAGTTAGATCATGCCACAAACAGCAAGGATAAGTTCCCAAAATTATCAGAAACGCGCGCGCGCGCGCGCGCGTGTGTGTGTGTGTGTGTGTGTGTGTGTGTGTGTGTGTGTGTGTGTGTGTGTGTGTGTGTGTGTGTGTGAGCGTGCTTGTGTGTGCACATGTATGTGTATATTGAATAATATTGAAATAAAATAGTTGTAATTTAAAAAATATGTGAAATAATAATTACAGAGCATTTTCTATTAGTAAATAGCAAATTCATTTTTGAAAACTTTAAATAAAATGTGTGTGTAAATGTGTGGTGTTTAGTGACCGTAGCCAATGATTGATTATTTGGAGAATGTGAGGTGCGGTCTGGTGTGAAGAAGGCTTTAGAAAAACATTTTCTTTATCATGCCAACATTCATCTTTATTGAGATCATCTTCAGGGCCTGGGATTTATAAACATTGTTTGAATTTTACAAATACATGTAGGATGTAGAAAAAAAATGAATTTAGACAATGCTACAAAATTTTAGAATAAAAAAATATATATATATATATACATTGATAGAAAATATTAGATTAAAAAAAAAGAATGAATTTATACAATGCTAGAAAATTTTAGATTAAAAAATAAATAAAACAGTTATAATATGAGTCATTGGTGTTCATGCTTACCGTTTCTCCAATTATTTCATCGGGTACACTTTGTGTATGTACCAAATTGTTCTATAAACATTACCAAGTATTATGAAATGTAAAAGTTTAAGTAAGTTTAGTATTAGTGATGAAGTACAATAAATATTAATGATGCTTGCAATCTTAAAAGTAGATGGGAGTATGTGATGTGCCATCACAACACTCATATATCTTCAATGATATGTTAATGCTCAAATGATGTTTATTGCATTTTTGCCTATGGGGGAGCTATTTTAATCAGGAAGCTAAACTCCTGGGTGTGTGGGACTTGCACCCACCAAAACACCGCTACACAAAACCGGCAATTTTCCCATCCTGAAACTGCTATGAGCATTACTTCAGGATGGAGCCACTTACTAAGGATTATAAGCCACCTCTAGATCCAGATGCATCTCCTGTACTACCAGACCTTAGGTGATGGTCAAGCATCACCTATTTCCATAGCAGGACCGTTTTTATGAAGAAGGCTGCCATCCTCATCCAACTGCTATGAGACCCAGTCATGATTTCGATGACATTTTCAGTCCTTTGACTGTCTCTAGTTCAAGGTGTTCTGGCCTCCACCATTCACATTCAAAAAATCCCACATAGAGTCACTGAAAATATACAAAGGGTCTTCCATCTTTCCATCCTGATGAGGTAAGAGCAGAAAAACCCAGGTACCGATTGCATTTGAAGATGCAAAAAATAAAATAATTAAAGATAATGCATTTGTGTAAAGTTGACCATAGCTTTTGAACACATCAACAAAATCATCTAACACATACTTGCATTTCCAGTATAGACCAGAAATAATTTAACATTGAATTGTTCATTGTGTAATTAGGTACTAGTATCTACTAGTATATCAGACTATCAACATTTTCTAAAATAATTCAATAGTAAAATTTAAAAACATACAATGAGGTTTTATGCAACTAAATAACTTGTTTTTACACTGAAACTTTAAATTGTAACATAATAATATTATTACTTACATTTCCGAGAGCTATACTGTGATTACTTTTTGATTTCACTGGTACTAAGACATTCTACAAAAAATTTAACATGATATATAAACAATTATTTGAGAATTTGCTTAAGATTAATTATATTTGGTTTATTGCATAT